AGATGCAGGGACATAAAATAGAGTTTTCAAACAGAGGAGCTTGAGACTGATCTAATCAGATATCCTAAATAGTCAGACTCTTTAATAGCTCTCAGCTGCTGAGGCTTACAGGTCCAGTGTGAATCAGAACACCATCACTGGCTAAATTATAATGATGTCCTGAGGCATGATGGGAATTATTTATTCACTGTATTATTTGCCATCTATTTACAAGAGATGCACAACTTGATATTCTTCAGGAATCGTGATGATAATATATTTATGCCACTACTTCGTTCTCGGTTTCAGTTTCAAAATGACACTACACTCACACTGAGAGGTCAGAGGTCAAATGTGTATGCAGTTAGCAGTGTTGCACACCAGTTTAAAGGGGTCATATGATGCTGCTAAAAATAAAATAAAAAATTATTTTGTGTATTTGGTGTGTTTATGCAGTTTAAGGTTAAAAAAAAAACATTATTTTCCACATACTGTACATTAGGCGTAGATTTTTACAAAGCTCATTGTTCTAAAAAGCAAGGTGTGCTTTGATTGGCCAGCTATCCAGCGCGTTGGCCGAATACCTCAAGCGTGTGACGGAAATGTTACGCCCCTTACCAAATTGTGATGGAGCGACGAGACAAAAACATGAAAACCCATTATAAACAAGGCATTTGTTGCATCCAGTGGGGACATAATTACTGATTATAATGACTTATACTGTCTTTTTACACGTTGCGTTGCATCGCGCCGCGTAAACATAAAACAATGTCTGCATTTGTGATTGGAGAAATGACAAACAACAAGCGCTACACTACACTGCCCAAAAATCTCGCGTTTGAATCGTCAGTGGCAAATTCTTTAAATATAAAAAACGTACTTACAGGCTGTGAGTCAGAACAGCCGGCATTGTAGTCTACTCTCCCAGGATCAGGAAACAGTCCTCCATAAAATGCGCTGGACACATCTGAATATTTGGGTTAAACTGTTCTGGAACAGTGTTGTAAATACAACTTAACCCTTCTAGTCGTGTCCTCTTTTGGAAGGCCAAACAAAGTAGTTTCGCTTTCACAACGAAACAGCGTCACACACCACGGCCTTGAGTGAGCGGAAGCCTAGAGTGAGCGGTGGCGGGCGGGCTTGAGAACGGCGCAGCCGGCAGATTCGACGAAGGAGCGTCCGGCGGGCTTGCGGCAACCACAAGTGACGACCCCGGGCTGGACTCCGCTTCGTCCACAGAATTGCAATCAAATTTTGAATTTAAGGAAGTGGAATTAAAATTGAAATTCTAAGAAATTCATGTGAGCCCATGAAGTGCATTTCCTTAAATTACCTTATCGGTTGAATTTCAATCCAATTCAAATGTTAATTCAACTTCCTGTAGTGCATATTTAAACAGCCCTGGTTCTTAAAAGTGCAGAGATCAACTAACATTTTTATTAGCATCTCTTTGGACCACCTTTCTATCTTACACATCAGCATAATGTGATTAATGCTATGTATAACTATCTGATAATTATGATGTGATAGCATCTGAAAGCATGCAGATAAAAAGGTGCAGCCAGAAATGTCATAATTTTTCTCCCATGTAAATTGGCCTCATGACCTTTGCTTATGAGGAGGTGTAAGGGAAAACCAGTGAGGTATCAAAGTTAATTTAGGTGCAGAGGAGGAGGAGGGTTATGCAGACAAAACATATCGGTTACAAGGGACTTTCATATCAATATGCATTGTGTGCTCAATGAACACTAAACCACTGATGGCTCAAATGCATCAAATGTAGGCCATCATCTATTTTTATACCTCAGATTTCAGACTGGGATTGAGTTTAGACATTTGCAATCCCCACCTGTTGGCTTTCCACATGACAGGTCTAGAAAACTGTCTTGTGTTTGTGGTTACTGTGGTACTGCCATGACTTTAGAAACTCCTAAAAATATGTCTATAATAATAACTGCAACTGTAAAGTTTTAATTATCATTCCAATTGTACGAGAATATGGAAATTTATACCACAAAAATAATGATAAAGAATTTAAACGATTTTTTCCCCAGGTGTTGATCGATTAAAAAAACACTCAATTTAACTCAGCCAATGAGAATCCATCCTGCTTGAGCGTTTAAAGTGGCAGAGGACAAAACTGCAGCATGCGCTTATAATAAACAGAATGTTATTATCCATTGGTGTGGATGCTAATATAGCTAACATTACTGAGATAAATGGGCATGTATGTACCCAAATGTACAAGCACCTTGACATGTTGTTGACCATCCAACTTTGCAAAAATTACCTATCGCTTAAAATTCAAATAGCACCTTAGCACATAGAAAACACTTTGGGTTATGAAGGAAACTGGCAACTCATGTCATGCACAGATGAACTGTACGTGTATCAAGTGCACAGATGCTATTTTGAGAATTCATCATCTTACCAAAGGCTTGAAAAAGTACTTGTAAACATGTTTCAAATGGTCCAAACAAAATGTTTCTACATCCACACACAAACCATCATCCTCTGAGTGAGTTGGTACACACCTGGTACAGTTCATTGGCACACTTGCGGCAGAGGTTGTGCTGACAGGGCAGAATGACCACTGGTTTTGTGAAGACCTCCACACAGATGGGACAGATGAGTTGTTTCTCCAGCGTCCCCAGTGAGGGGTCTTTGTGGTAAGAGCAAATATCCAGTGGAAGAGACATGGCCGTGTGCCCCTGCTGGAAATTAAGATCAGAGAGTGAAACCACAGCTAAGGAGATGAGACGCCACAAGACTCAAGATGAGTCTTCATGTCTTTGTGCTGTGTGGTTGTCCAGTCTCTCGAGGCAGCAGGCAGTCGCTCTGCCCGTGCTTGAACAGTGCGATGGGGTCTGTGTTGGTTTACAGCTGAAGATATCTATGTGTGCATGTGCAAGAGGGGGAAGGTGTCCGGTTTCTTGCTGGCTCACTGGGACACCCCCTACCCTTGATCAGTTGTGCCCATATCAGGCAGCCAGTGGAATGCTGGGAAACAGAGATGATGCCTCATCTCCAGTTACTCCAATCATTCATGTCTTCAGCCTTGAAACAGTCAACAAGTCAATAATGCCAGAAAAGCTACAGTATTAGAGGAGAGTAAGATGGTGTTTATGAAGTGTACTTAAACTTTTAAGACAAAAACTTCCACAAGTGTGTACGAGTACATTCGAGTTGGAAAAAGACAGGAAAAACTGAAGAGCCATTTTAAAATTGCAATATTTCACAATATGACCGGTTTTACAGTATTTTTGATCAAATAATTGCAGAAAAAATGTAGTGTACTTAAAATAAAAAGTCATTATTTACTCACCCTCATGTTGTTCCAAACTTGTATGACTTTCTTTATTCTGTAAAATTCTAAAGTTGGTGTTTTGAAGAACTGTTTTTACCCATACTATGAAAGATCCCAAACAACACTTTGTAACTCTCTCTCTACACACACACACACACACACTTTTACATACATTTACGCTAATTTGTATCTTAACTTTTATTTTTTTTACTTTTCTTTAATACACAACTTTTCTTACTTTCACTTAAATGTTTTTGGTTTAATATTCTAACTTTATGTTAGTGCTACATAATATATGTATGTGTGCTGTGTATATTTATTATGTATATATAAATACACACACATGCATGTATATACTTCAATTTTTTATATATATATATATATATTAAATATTTATAATATAAATTATATGAAGATAAATATAGACGTACATATTTTCAAAATATATACATGCATGTGTGTATATATATATATATATATATATATGTGTATATATATATATATATATAATAAATACACACAGAACACACATATATTATGCAAACAAAAACATTTATTTTGAATGCGATTAATCCTGATTAATCGTTTGACAGCTCTACTTTATTTTAATTAAGAGGGTTTTATTTATATCCCTGTAAATGTGTGAAAAGCAACATTACAAAGATCATTATTTCCTTTGCACAAATAATCAACAGATACTTTTTTTTTTGGTTTCCTTCATTTATTTTACAGCTGTAATTCAGACCAATTATCCATGTTACATCTCTCTGACACATTATATTATACTACAACAATTTCATATGATTTATCCAGAACACACAAAATAATTCAGCCATTCTGTACAATAGTCATATTTGTTTACACATATTGAACTATGTAATTAATTAAAAACATAGGAAAATAATAAATAAAATATTGTTTCTCATCACCATGTTTATACTATTTCCTTAATTTTTAACATGATTCTGTTTAGGTGTTGCATTCACTCGCAACGCTCCATTCCTTCTCTTATACTTAGATTGAAGCAATAGGCAATCGGATCAGTGTTTTTTTTTTTTTTTTTTATGATCATGAATGAATGAATACAACAAATAAATGGAAAGAAAAACTTGGATAACAAAGAAAAAACAGATCAGTAGTTGTGTTACAGTGGAGCTTGTGTTGAGAAATAATATTTTGCAAATAAAAAGCGTTACACATTATGAACAGGTTAGTCTTCGAAATGCTTAGAAACATGATCACAATTAATCTGCATAATCATTTAGACATAAATAAAATACAAAAAAATACATGATAAACCTACAGACCTATGACATATTCACAATGTGATCCTAAACAAATAAAACACATTTGGGGTAAATTACACAAGTTTTCCGTATATTCTGTTTCAAGTGCATGTAAATGAATGTATGCACAAACAGGGACAGCTATACAGCTAATCCATCTTACAGACATTACAGATATTTAAACAGAACATACAGTAGATGATTAGTGATTCAATTAAGATCTCAGTTTCAAACAGCACACACATTCACACACAGAAATGAAGGTTTCCTATATGTCTGTATCTTTCGGTTCACTCCTATCAAAAAATAAAAATAAAATAAATATAATAAAATAAAAATGATGCATGTATTCTGACAGATAAAAGAAAAGAGAAGATCTAAAAGGTTGCAAGTGTCAGGGTTCCCAAATTGTTTGGCCAATGACTTCATTCCATTACCATGTTTTTTTTTAAGGATTTTAGCTCATGAAGAGCAATTTCCAGTCACTGAAATATTTTAGGGCTGAGCAAATCTAAAAATGTATAGAGAATGGACATTTTCATTACTTTTTATTAATTTCTGTGAATGCTCCAGGCTGGAAAGCCACAATTTTACACTTCTGTGATATTCCCAGATTTCCATGACTGGGAACCCTGAATTGTGCATATGAGATGATCAAAGCATATTGAGCACGAACCATTTTAGTCTGAAGGACACAGATCACAGAGTTATTCATATTTTCTGGCATAATAGTAATAATACTGTTAATGTGTATTAACTAATATGCTGACCTAATTAAACCATGACACTAGGGAACAACATCAAATTATGGGTACAATTATAGCCAAAACAAAATAGAACAGCAAACTGAGTGATAGAAGTCTAGAACCAGATTTGTTAAAATAAATGTTAAAAAATGTATCACACTAAAAAGGATGCATCAGTTAACAATTTTGGGTCAGTGTGAAACTATGGAATTAATGGATGAAAATCACTGATGTTACTGAACTATATGGGAAACATACTGCATGTGAATCCCTTTACCCACAATCCAACTGTGCTTATATTGAACCCAGCTGTCTGAGGAGGGGCTCATGCTTTCTAAAACCACAATCCTGAGGAATGCAAACACTCTTTACCTTAGCAAAGCCTTGAGAATACAGATGGAAATACAAAACACCTGTTCAAGATTAAATGACCTGGCACAATGCTACGTGTTTGTATGTATCTGACCCTAAACTCCTGTTCCCCATACACAGGGTTTAAATTGGGCCGGAGCCGTCCGGGGCTGAGCCCCAGCACATAGACTGTATATTATGCATCTATTGCTGAGGCGAGGCTCACGCAGCCTCTCCAGGAGAAATCAAAACGTGCAACACTATGAAACTCAGCATCCTGAGGTAAAAATTCCAAATGGAAAGTTTTTATATTTAAAATGCAGTTAGTTAGGCAACATCACACAACGTTTTCACCATTATGACTGTTTAATAGTTCTATAAACAGTTCAATAAGCAAATACAATAATATTAGGTCACTTACATTTTAGGCGGAAACAGCGCATCTCACAGCAACCAGCCGATTCATTGCTGATTGATTCCGTGTTTTGAACGAATCGGTTGAATCAAACTTTCATTAGCCCACGCATTAACATCTGATGAAACTGCCGTTTGAATGAACGACTCAGTGACTCACTCATTAAACACTACTGGCACTGGCGTTTTAATTTCGTTGAAAAGTATCATTTCCACCATAATTTCTTGTTTGTATATTCAAAAATATTTAAAAGAATCTCATAATATTATTTAATGCAGTAGTATTTTTCAGTGATTTAATTTGATAACGTATAGATAATCACATTATTATAATTGAATTTATAGATCAAATGTAAGAATTTGAAATGAAAGTATTAGTGGGAAAATGCCCTCTATAAAGGTAAAAAATATTGAATATATAAATATTGAATAAAATGAGAATATTGCTTCAGAATAAATCATTTTTATATAAGCTCGATACCATAGAGCCCCCCCACATAACAAATCCCAAATTAACCCCTGCCCATACACACCACATAATTGAGCACAGCTAAGCACTGCATGATTATATTTGATAGTACATGCCCACCGGATGCCAACATGAGAGACGGATCACATAAACTTACACAACATGACACAGCAATGATTCCTCAATCGTGTCCTCAGTGACTACACTATACTATTCTGCCTTACTGTTTAGAAAAATATAAAGGTATCAAACTACTGAAAGCCATTTCCAGTTAATGTTATGAAACACTTGAACCTGAAGGATTATAACTTATATAGTGTGATCTCTGGATAATGAAAATGGCACAGGTTTGTTTGTTAAAAAAAAAAAAACACAAAAAAAATGTGGAAACATGAAAACAACCCAGGACAATGTTTATGATGTGATTGTGAGGTTTGTGCTAGTGAGAGCCAATCAAATGCATGGAAGGGTCATTAACTTTGAGTTTGAAAAGTTAGTGGTCTGTGTGCTTTTTTTTATTTTTATTTTTTTTAGTCTTACGCTCACCAAGGCTGGATTTAAACCAAAAATTCAGTAAAAACATAAATTTTGTGAATTATTGTTACAATTACACAGTTTTCTATTTTAATGCATTTTGAAAAGTAATTTACCATAATTTCTTGTTTGTATATTCAAAAATATTTAAAAGAATCTCATATTATTATTTAATGCTGTTTTTCAGTGTAAGTGATTTAATTTGATAACGTATAGATAATCACATTATTATAATTGAATTTATAGATCAAATGTAAGAATTTGAAATGAAAGTATTAGTGGGAAAATGCCCTCTATAAAGGAAAAAAATATTGAATATATAAATATTGAATAAAATGAGAATATTGCTTCAGAATAAATCATTTTTATATAAGCTCGATACCATAGAGCCCCCCCACATAACAAATCCCAAATTAACCCCTGCCCATACACACCACATAATTGAGCACAGCTAAGCACTGCATGATTATATTTGATAGTACATGCCCACCGGATGCCAACATGAGAGACGGATCACATAAACTTACACAACATGACACAGCAATGATTCCTCAATCGTGTCCTCAGTGACTACACTATACTATTCTGCCTTACTGTTTAGAAAAATATAAAGGTATCAAACTACTGAAAGCCATTTCCAGTTAATGTTATGAAACACTTGAACCTGAAGGATTATAACTTATATAGTGTGATCTCTGGATAATGAAAATGGCACAGGTTTGTTTGTTAAAAAAAAAAAAACACAAAAAAAATGTGGAAACATGAAAACAACCCAGGACAATGTTTATGATGTGATTGTGAGGTTTGTGCTAGTGAGAGCCAATCAAATGCATGGAAGGGTCATTAACTTTGAGTTTGAAAAGTTAGTGGTCTGTGTGCTTTTTTTTATTTTTATTTTTTTTAGTCTTACGCTCACCAAGGCTGGATTTAAACCAAAAATTCAGTAAAAACATAAATTTTGTGAATTATTGTTACAATTACACAGTTTTCTATTTTAATGCATTTTGAAAAGTAATTTATTCCTGTGATGCAAAGCTGAATTTTCAGCATCATTACTCTTCAGTGTCACATGATCCTTCAGAAATCATCCTAATATGCTGATTTGCTATACTGATTTATTATTATCAGTGTTGAAAACAGGTGTGCTGCTTAATATTTCTGTTTTGATGAACAAAGCTCAATAGAATGGCATTTGAAATAAAGATCTTTTGTAAAATGTCTTTACTGTCACTTTCAGTCAAATTAATGCATCCTTTCTGAAAAATGGTATGAATGGTTTTGAATGGTAGGGTATGTGTGACAACCTCTACAATTATCAAATTTTTTCGAGTCAGCGTAATGCCAGCTTCATTATCCATTATGATAGCTGAATGCACTAAGCATACAAAAATACTTCCTTGTGTCCTGTTGTTGTGGAAACTAATTAATGCTTCAATTAAGATTGATCAAAATTATTTTAACTTATTATGTAGACAAATGCAGTGTGATAATCAGTGCATAACAAGAGCTGTCGGCAAGATGTAGCTTTATTTGCCTTTTTTTAAAGGCAAATAAAAATAAACTCGCTTCTTGCCATGTACAGTGGAGCGTTTCAGGTTTTCCAATGATACTGTAACTAACTAACCGCTCATCCTCTTTCCTCTGGATCACCCATTGCCCACCGTGACTTTTTCTGGCATGGTGGTCCCGTGTGTCTGTGAGAGAGGTTTAATAGCTGGCGTCTGTCCGGTAGCTGGTGTGGTGAGAGTCTGCGGTCAGCTGAGTGTTCTCTGTGGCAGAGGACGGCTGCATCACAATGGGGCTGCTGCCATCTGTGGAAACACACACCAGTGTCACGCTGCTTTATAATATGAGCAGCTAGCAACTCAAACTGAACCCTGTTGCTAAGCATTACAGGCATGATTGTGAGTGCCAGGGAGGCCACTTCAAATACTGAACAGACCTTTTATTGGCTAAATAAACAATCTGAAGGCATTTGAACTGTAATTCTAAGAAAAACTGGACTTTATTCACTGGGATTTGATTGAAACCAATGATATTATTGACCCACCTGCACGGCCTTAGTTATGACAGCAGAAAAGAAAAGTTTTCAGAAGCAGATAAAATGATGACATTGTGATGAAAGATTATGAAACAATCATTATCACTTTACAATAACATGCACTGAACTGCGCTATGGACATTTATTAAAGGCCCAATGAAACAGTTTGCTCAACACAGTTTTATTTCCAGATGTATTTCCTATTTAAAAATCCAAGAATATGGAACTAGGATATATTGAAGGTCTTAAAACAAAACAAACAAACAAAAAGGAGCGGCTGATGTTAAAATTAATAATAAATATGTCTTTAAAAAAAAACACTAGAAACCAAACTTTTTTAAATGCTGTGGTTTTAGGCATCATGATATTTTAATATTAATTTACTCGGATTACATTTAACAGTGTTATTGTACATTTTAAAGCAACTGCATAGTTCTTATTTGTCTAAATATTGTTTTAATAATTAACATTTAAAAGAAATGTGCACTCATTTTTTATTATTTTATTATAATTTTAAGTTTATTCAAATTGTATTAAAGTAAAATAAATAATGTGGATTTAGGTTACATATTTTGCATTTTCTGCAGAACTGCATTCTTTGTTATATTTGGTTATGACTAAACAATGAAATAATACACAGTAAACTAATTTAATAAAAAACATTAAAGGGACAGTTCACTCAAAAATGAAATTCTGTCATCATTTACTCAACGTCAAGTTGTTCTAAACCTCTTTGATTTTCAAAAGAAAATAATTTGAAGAATTTGGGTAACCAAATATTATGGGAAAAAAATACTATAGAAGTCACTGGGAACCAAGAACTATTTGGACACCAACATTCTTCAAAATACCTTCTTTTGTACAAAAGAAAGAAAATTATACAGGGTTGGAACAACCTGAGGGTGATTAAACTATTTTCATTTTTGGGTGAGCTATACAGTGGGGATCTTTTTAAGTGGGAGAACTTGCACAATTGGTGGCTGACTAAATACTTTTTTGCCCCACTGTACCTTTAAGTCACCAAAGCATAATTTGGTACTTGCTATTGGTTGTCAGTGGCAGGTGGTATGTGGGGAAGTTCATTACAATACCTTTTGTAAGTACACTAGCTTATGAATGGTATTAAAAAGCTAAAATACATGGACTAATAGACACAAAACTTTCATTTTGATTTCATGTCAACATTATCGTGTTTATTTGACTATTGTAAATGACTGTCTGTCAGTGTGTCTCACCTCTCTCATCAGACTGCATCTGAGCTTCCAAGTCTTCAGGAGACACATAGAATTCCGGCTCATCTGACCGAGGAGGATGAGGTTTACACTTCCCACAGCAGCAGTTACAACAGCAGCACAGACAACAGCAGAAATAACAGCCTGTGGCCACACCGCAGAATATAAACAATGCCTGTCCAGAGGGTGGAAAAAAAGAGGAATTCAACATAAATAACAGCATGTACACAAACTTACTATATGCACTACCATCCAAAAGTTTGGGGTCAGAAGTCTTGTATGCTCATCCAGGTTTTTTTTATTCTCTTTTTGTTTATTTTAAAATGTAAACTGTAATCCTGTGATGTTAAAGCTTAATTTTCAGGATCAGGATCATTACTCCAGTCTTCAGTGTCACATGATCCGTCAGAAATCATTTTAATATGCTGATTTGCTGCTCAAGAAACATTTCTTGTCATTATCAATGCTGAAAACAGTTTTGCGGTTTAATATTTTTGTTGAAACTGTTGAAATATAAATCTTTTGAGATACTGTCACATCTGAATAATTTAATGCATTTAATTTCTTGCTGAATAAAAGTATTAATTTCTTTAAAAAAAAATGACTGACTCCAAACTGAATGGTAGTGATCTAACTTGAAGAATATAGTATATATATCTTATATCTTAATGGTCTTGTGTGTGCTTGTGTGTATGACTAACCTTGGCCCACCAGCTGGACAATACAAAGTACGTGTTAACATTCTCCTCTCCAAACTGTTCTGCAACGTAGAGGCCCAGAGATCCGTATTTGTCATAGATGTTGCGTTTGGTGGGGTCCGACAGAATGGCATTAGCATTGTTGATTTCTTTGAATTTCTCAGACGCTTCTGGATTGTCAGGATTCTTGTCTGGGTGGAACTTCAGAGCTAGTTTTCTGCAAATCAGAAGAGAAGAAATAATTGAACTTCCTAAGAATTAATGCAACCATGACCTTTGTCCAGCATCCTTGCCAATCTGCTTTTAGGTGTGTTAACGTTAAATATTATGTTAAAAAAATGGACTCTTTTCACAGACTGTGTTTATGTGTTATTACCACAGTTATTAAAGGGTTAGTTCACCCAAAAATTAAAATTCTGTCATTAATTACTAACCTTCATGTCGTTCCAAACCCGTAAGACCTTCATTCATCTTTGGAACAAAAATTAAGATATTTTTGATGAAATCTGAGAGCTTTCTGGCCCTGCATAGACAGCAACGGTGCTGACATGTTCAAGGCCCAGAAAGGTAGTAAGGACATCGTTAAAACAGTCCATGTGACATCAGCATTTCAACCGTAATTTTATGTAGCTACAAGACGACTTTTTGTGCTCAAATAAAACAAAAATAACGACTGTGTGATGCTGCTGACGGAGGAGCTGGCGTTCTGACGTAAAACCCAGATGTGCTGCATCTTGTTTGCAAGCAGAGGATTGCACACTCATGCGTTGTGAATGCGCGAAAGAGAAGAAATTGTGGAATAATTTATTTTTTTTTCTTTGCAAACAAATTTTCGTAGCTTCATAACATTAAGGTTGAACCACTGATGTCACATGGACTAATTTAATGATGTCCTTACTACCTTTTTTGGGTCTTGAACGTGGTAGTTCCCTTGCTGTCTATACAGGGTCAGAAAGTTTTTGGATTTCATCAAAAATATTTAAATTTTAAGGTCTTAAAGGTTTGGAACAAAATGAGGGTGAATAATTAATGACAGAATTTTCATTTTTGGATGAATTATCCCTTTAAAGGTTTTTTATTTATTTATTTATTTTTAAAATGTATTTTATTGTTCATATATAACAATATACTTTGTATTTTATTACTTTGGAAAAGTGCAACAATCAATCTCTCAATATTTTTTTTTCTTCCTCTTTTGGAAAATCATATTAGAAATGCTTGAATGGATTGTTTTTTCTTTGATATTGGAACAAACAGCAATGCAAAAAATTATATTTGTTGTAGTTTCCATTCACCACTATAGAAGGTCACCCGACTATGACGACTTCCACTACTAATAACTCCACGATATATTAACTAGCAACTATTATTTAATAATAGCATGTAAAATACTAAGTATTATTTCATGATAAATGCTGGCAAGCATAATCGGTCACCTGAGTATTCATGCACACAGAAAATTTACATACTGTTCAAAGTATGCATACTATATATAAAACAGCAGTAGTAAGAACAGTATGGTAGCAAGTTTTCATGAGAGGAAATGAGGAAAAGTTCTGTCGCCCCCTAGTGGATTTAATTGGACACTCAAATGGATTGTTCACCCAAAAATGTCATAATTTCCTCACTCTCACTATGACTTACTTTCTTCTGTGGCAATGCATACAGGGTTGGAACGACATGAGGGCGAGTAAATGATGACAGAATGGGTGAACTATCCCTTTAAGACATTGAAATCTTTGTTTTCTCCACTATTTTCGAGAAAGATTGTTGGAACAATCTTTCTATGTCCATTAAGAGTGTCTTACCTGTAGGATTTCTTTATGTCTTCTGGTGTCGTGTTTTTATCAATGCCCAGGACCACATATAGTGATTCTCCTGCCGTGGAGAGTGAACGCTGTCTCTGCTGCTCCGCCATTACTCACACGCGTGCACACACGCTCCCCTCACACCACAAACACCTCTTTCTGAAAGAAAAAGCAGAGAAACATGTTATATGCGCTGTATATACTGGGTCTGCTTTTATTCTTGCACTGCTTTTTGTCTTTGTCTTTTTTACACAGCAGCGTAACATACAAAAAAAAAATTAAAGCATACACATACTGCCATCCCAGTGATATGGCAATAAAACTTGAAATGTCATTATACACTATTTCTGTGAATCTAAAACCCATAATCCATACCCTTTAGTGCAGCAAAACACCACCATTATTACATCAGTGAGAGTCATAGGCTCATTTCCACAAATGTCCCTGTTCTGAGTCAGTGCATTAACTGAGGATCCACACAGCTGAAAAAAAGTCATGTGACTCTAGCATTCAGAGAGGAGCTGGAGAGCTTTTGGGTGTGGTATTCTTTGCCATGTCTAACCCCTGTATTTGTATACTATCCGTATACAATACCTGATATGACAATTAGAATCAATGTGCCCCAACCATAGTTTGTTAATATAGTATGTCAAAGATGCTAGGTTTTATACCCCTCATGCACTGGATGAGTAAACCTCAGCGGTTTAAAAAAATAAATAAATCTGTAAAATTACAACACTAATATTCGTATCTTAATCCATGAACTGATTCAAGTAGCAAAAAGAACAAGATTGCAAGCTTAAATCTGATTGATTAAAATTATTATATATATATATATATTTTTTTTTTTTGCAGTGTGGCATTATTTTTAGAACAATTAAGCACATTTCCCCCTCATTGAAAGTTCACTTTATGCAGACGGATAAAAGGCTGGCTCAGTCGGAGTATTAGCTACATGATTGTCAGGTATGTGTACAAGTGAAAACACATGGGAAGAGCAAGGGAGATACACAGAGACACACATCTTCCACACAGAGAGGATCAGAAGTTACATCCTCCAGTATGAATCAAAGACAATTAACCAATTAACCCAGAGTAATTCAGGTTAAGGCACCTCCACACAAAAAGGCTGCCAGGTGAGGAGACATTTCACATGTCAATAACCAATTATTTGGAGAAAACAAAAAAATACACGTATGACGACTCTTTAAATGAGTACAAACACCACTTTTCCTCATGCGAGGAGCTTGCTGTGCCGTGGTGCGAGACAGTTTCGCCTCCTTTCCAGGCTAATCGTGCAGCTTGTCAGCGAGCATTAGCAGATTAGTATTAGCGGAGCATCTGAATAAGTGAAGGGTTATTTCTGTCCCTTCTCAAACCCTGTGAGATTTTGTTTGTTTGTTTGTTTTGAGGCTTCTAAATGAATGTCTGAATTTCACTGACATTACCTCAGAGCAGTCTTTGATGATGCGTGTCAAAAAAATTCAACATCTGCTCAGATATTGCTGGAGATTTCTAATACTATTGCTCATGCTTCGGATTTTCAAACCTCTTATTATTCTTAATAATAATGATAATTATTAATATATATAATTATTAGCTATTACTTTCCTAGACAATTACAAATTATGATTTTTGCTTGGAAATATATTTGCTTTTGACAAGCAAACAAACAAAAATAAATAAATAAAATAAAAAAAAACCTGAAGAAAGGACCAGAATTAAGGGACCACAATATCATTAACTGTGTTCAAAATCATGCATTTGAAGAAATTTCTCAATTGTTAATAAAGTGCACTACCAGTCAAAAGTTGTTCACCAAACCTGCATTTATTTGATCAAAAATACAGAAAAAAATTGTAACAGTGTGAAATATTATAACAATTTAAAATAAATGTTTTCTTTTTTTAACTGTTTTTAAATCCAATTTATTTCTGTGAGAATTTTCAGCATCATTACTCCAGTCTTCAGTGTCACATGATCTTTCAGAAATCATTTTAATAGGCTGATTTGGTGCTCAAGAAACATTTCTTATTATTATCAATGTTGAAAACAGCTGTGCTGCTTAATATTTTTTCCTGAAAACCTGATACATGTCAGGATTCGTTGATGAATACAAAAAAGACGACATTTATTTTAAATAATTTTTTTAGAACATTATAAAATTTCTTTACTTTCATTGTTGATCAATTTACTGCATTCTTGCTGAATAAAACTATTACTTTCTTTAAAAAATGAATACAACATTTGCGTACTTCAGCACACTAGCAACAACCACATCACAAAAACTACTCAAAACACCTTAGCAACCACATATCAATGCCCCGGCAACCTCCCACAACACCTTAGCATCATGGCAGTATTTTTTACACAGAGAAACACCACCTACATTTACTACAGAAAACAAAAAATGTATGTAAAAGTCTGTTGCTACAATTTGTATTTCATTTATATTTTTACTACAAGGTTTTGTGTTTAAATAATGTGTCAGAATAAGTGTGTATGTCTGGGCAGCTAGCAGATGGACTTCCTGCTTCATCGGTTGATTAAATGTGATTACTAATAGAGTTTTCATCAGGAGCAGGGCTCTGCAATGCAGCCACTACATCCATCTCTCTGCCTCTCTCACACACTCCCTCCCCCCTCCTGTCTCTGCACCACCATATGGTCGGACTAATTCTTTAGTGGCCATCTCAGTCTGTGGACTAGAGATGGCTGCCAAAGTCTCCACAGCTTAATGAACATCGCTGTCCATGTCTTTCCTGTATAGGTTTATCCATCAAATCAAGTTCTCTGTCAGGTCCCTCTGTTTGTGTTCTAACATCCTCCCACGCCACTATGTTTGCATCCTCTTTTCTCTGTCTATCCGAGCAGGTGAAATGATGTGGCTTGTATTATGTGCTGCTGGTTTTAAAAGGTCTGTTTGTAGAGGGATGAAATAGCAGGAGCGAGTGGAGCGTGTTTGATGAGAGTCTGTTCACAATGAACAAGCACACACACAAAGTAATAGTGTCGACGTTCCTAAACCAGAGTCGTTATGGTCAACCAAAACTTAAAATAAAATCATTACATACAATTAATTACTTTCATAACTTTTTTTCAGCTGGTTGCCAAAGCAAAATTTCTCTTTTTTTTTTAATTTAGTATGAAAGTGAAAATATTGTCAACCTCATGTCATTTCAAACCTGTATGAGTTTCTTTCTTCTGTTGAACACAAAAGAAGATATTTTGAAGCATCCTCTTTTCTCTGTCTATCCGAGCAGGTGAAATGATGTGGCTTGTATTATGTGCTGCTGGTTTTAAAAGGTCTGTTTGTAGAGGGATGAAATAGCAGGAGCGAGTGGAGCGTGTTTGATGAGAGTCTGTTCACAATGAACAAGCACACACACAAAGTAATAGTGTCGACGTTCCTAAACCAGAGTCGTTATGGTCAACCAAAACTTAAAATAAAATCATTAAATACAATTAATTACTTTCATAACTTTTTTTCAGCTGGTTGCCAAAGCAAAATTTCTCTTTTTTTTTAATTTAGTATGAAAGTGAAAATATTGTCAACCTCATGTCATTTCAAACCTGTATGAGTTTCTTTCTTCTGTTGAACACAAAAGAAGATATTTTGAAAAATGAGGGTAACCAAACAATTGACGGTAGCCATTGACTTCTAGTATTTTTCCCCCATACTATCGAAGTCAAAGGCTAACAGCAACTGTTTAGTTTCCAACATTCTTCAAAATATCTTCTTTTGTGTTCAAAAGAAGAAAGAAACTCATACAGGCTTGGAACAGCTTGAAGGTGAGTAAATGTCAGAATTTAAACTTCAAACACTAAACTAACAAAAAAATTAATAAACTAAAATTTAATAAAAAAGTAGACATTCAAAAAACTAAACTAATAAAATGCAACAAAATTAAAACTGAAAATATATATAAAAAACTAATAGTACGTCAATGATACTAAAGCAACATTGTCGTTATTGATTATTGACCAAAAATAAGGAGCTTCAAGAAGTTAGAGACAACTGAATGGATCTGAATCTGAATCATCTATCAAAACAACATAAGGAGCAAACAGGTGGTGCTCAAAAGCTGGAAGGACGGGCACATAAGATCTCAAAGAACTAGAATAGAGACCAAACTAATGAGGAGTAAATGTGATGAACGAACAGCTGAAAGCACTATTTTTATGGAAAATCACAGTCTTGTGTTGATGACAAAACATTTCTTGCCATTTTTCTAATATCAGATATGAAGAAACTAAGATCCACAACAAGATTATCATGATAACTCTCATGGAAATTGATTTTCCAGAACCTGGGAAGACTGAGAGGTATGCTGGGAAAAATCAGCAGCAAATAGTATTCTTGTAGAGACCTCACTAACCCTGAGACATACAGTAGTCACCAAAACAGTGGAATGGTTGTTAAGATCTGCAGATTAATTCTGTTATTAATGGTTGACAGTCAAAATTGGCTCATAACAGATTCAGTTATGAGAACGGCATGTGTAAATAAATCTGAAGGAGGAGATACTGGAGACTTAAGAAGAGTGGTACATCATGATCACTAAAAAACACACACTGAAAATGGAAGACGGGCTAATATTGTCGAACAGAAGAGTGTCAATCTTGCAATAGAGTGCACAAGTTGTATGGATCCTTTTTGATAGTTTATGGGTTTTTTGTCCTCTTTTTGAGGTTTACAGCTTTGTATGGAGAATATCAAAATGAAGATTTTTAATGTGCATTTATTTTTTCCAAGAAGCACAGCATTTGGGTTTACCCTGTATTTTGTGTTTTATGAGTTGATGAAAAGCTAATAATTAATAAATCATAAAAATATAAACTTTAAATAAATAATTAAAAAACACTTTTTTACAAAGTATTAAATGTTTCATTTGTTTACTTGCATGTTAAGTGACCAACAAATGACATCAAATAACTACGAACATGCAAAACTACAAATGAATCATTTAAAATCTCAGAGGGTTCTGACAAAAAAGTGTGGAAATCCCTGTTTTGAGAAAAGGTGGTTGACTATGTTCCCTCCTGTGACAGCATACAGTGACCTACATTAAATGTGTGCTATGTGATGTTTGAATTTGCAGGTCACATCTCTGTCTGTCTACTCTTCCTCCTTCTACCTCACTGGGTTGTCCTTTCTT